GGGAAAGAGGATGCATTCATTCATTTATTCATTCGATGGACATTTGTTGAAGGTCTACAGTGGGCCAAGCACCAAGACAGGTCCTGAGGCTACAGTTGTGAGCAAAACAGGCATTGCCCCTGCCTACACTGAGCTTATAGTTTGATGGGGAGACATATCTTTTTTAAAAATGACATAATAATCATAAAAATGAATATATAATTAAAACTGGATGCTTTAAAGACAAAGTAAAGAATGTAGTAGAAAGGAAAGACTTCCCTTTTTGCTCTGAAGAATTTGTAAAACTAGGTAAAAGAGGATGGGGATAGGTTTAAAGCTTTCCAGGCAAAGGCAAGGTACCATTTATGCAAAATCTTTAAAGCAGAATGCCGGAATCCTCACAGAACTTAAAGAAGGCTAGTGTGGCAGGAACCTAGTAAGCAAAAGGGTCAGAGGTAGAAGACGAGTGAAATCAGATGGTACAGAGCCATGGCGAGTCAGTGAAAGATTTTAAGTAAAAGAACTTTGTGATAGAGCACTCCTGGAGGATAGAGTTTGGAGAATCCATTAGATGGCGCAGGAAAGGATACAGGGGACCAGTTGGATGGCTGTGGCAGTAGTCCAGATGAGAAATAGTACACTAAGTTAGCTACAGTAGATACAGAGAGAAGTAGGTGGGTTGGAGAGATTTAGGAGGTGCAGTTTTTTAAAAAGACATGAGTAATTGTGTGAGGAGGCAGCAGAGGGGGAGGTGTCAAGGATGGTGTCCAGGTAATTGGATGCCCTCACTGAACGAGGAAACACTGCAGGAAAGAGCTTATAACTGTCTACCCCTCACACACCTGGGAGTCATCCCCTTAGACCCCGGGGGTGCCTCATCAAACTCACCTTGACCCAAGGCAGCTGTCTTAGTCCACAGGTGCCTGAGAACTGACGAAGGCCTTTCCACGTGGAATCTTGCCTGCACTGTGTCCTGCCACCCCAGTTTGTTTTTTTCTGCCTTCTTAGGTTTAAACTTGAATGTATTTCTTAGAGTGGGCTTTTAAGAAGCAAGTCATTGCCAACCTTAGGCCCCTTTTATCATCCTTCTATTTTAGTCATAGAAAAGTTTGCTTTTCTTGTCTAAACTGGCACATT